CCATCCACTCCTTGGTCGTCCCAATGCGCCCCCACCTTGGTCGTCCCCCTCCGAAACCCCTTGGTCGTCGTCCACGTCGACCCGGCCTCGCTTGCGGTTTCGCCCCCCACGGCGGCGTGGCTTCCCGGCGAGCTCCTGGCGGCGTCGGTTCGCGCCGATCGCGGCGCCACATCCTTCGCCTTCGGAGAGTTTGGAGGTTCGATCCTTTAATCCCAAGCCTTTTTTCATACTAATCGTCTGGAGAAAAGAACGGTTCTTCTCCTCACCTATATCAAAGGGATATATATATATATACATACACGCTTCCTCTTGGGCTCTTAGGCGCCTTCGAAATGCAGATCTCTTTGAGATGTTCCAAAGGATTCTTTGACCTCACAAGTCACCGAATCCAAGTACCTTCGCACCCCCTCCGGTGACCAAGAGATCTCCTGCCCCTCAGGAACCTCATCCTCCTCTTCCTCCTGTTTCCAGCACCACAGGAAGCAAATCGATCAGGGGGTTGAGATAGAGATAAGGAACAAAGCTGAAGTATTGAACATGTCAAGAACTGGAACATTCAGTTAAATCCTGTTATTCTAATGGTTTATACCTTCCGACTTTGACAAAGCAAGGAAGAGCAGGCCCCAATTTGGGGTCATGGGACATATATGCCGCGGTGCAATAGATGAATACCATCTGTTGGAGAGTGACGGTAGGGCGTTGCAGGCTACAGTCTCTGGCAGGCTTGATTTAGTTTGGCTCCACGTGTCGGTCTACGAGCTCTTCTCAGTGTATATGCAGGGGCTTGAAAGATGCTGAAACCTTTTGAAACCACTTTCGACAACTTGTGCTATATTAATCATATGATTTTGGTTTTTGGGACTGCTTGGGTGACGTTCGCCAATTGCCAAGCCCCGGAACTAGAAACACGTGCCTTTTCTGCGGTTCGGGAGGATGTCCAGAAGACATGCTTCAAGGTTTAGTAGTGCAGGTACTGCTTGCCTTAAATACATGCATCACAAGCATCATGTTTGAACGTCAGGGGTTCTCAGATCCCAAACACTGTTCGCACACCCAGTTTTGGATCATGAAACAAGCGCATATGGACTGCTGGATGGAAGCATCAACCATCCTAGACATATTCCCCCAAGCAAGCTTCTTGGATCCACCAGTTTAGACTGTTTCTACTCAAAGAGTTGCCAAAGCCTATCAAGAACACCTTAGTGCCATGACCTAGCTAGCGAGCGGGTTCCCGGAAACATCGAAAACGCCCAAGCATGTCGACTCGCCTCTTCTCTGCTCACTAAACCCGCCTGGGCGATGGAAACGATGAACGATCTCCGTCCGGCATGAGATCGTTTGGTGGTGAGTCAGTCTTGGGTCGGTCTCTGTATTTCACAATCATACAACTCAGCTAGGCCCTTGCGCTTTTAGTTGAGCGGCTTTGTTTTTGGGCGGGGCCTGCACTCCCTGGAATGATTACGTGGAAGATGGCATGTTTACCTGGAAGTTCGGATGACCATGAAACCCGGTTTGATCAAAACATGGTGGTGAACTCACTCCTGAACTCCATGATTCTTTCCAGGAGTCGCTCGACACCGGCTTCTCGGAGTTGATGAAACATATCTCCAAGTAATGCGTCCATGTCAAGTCCCCATCTTAGGATGTGTCTGCTTTAATCCCGACACCAAGCACCGGACAGTGAAGATACGTGAAGCTTAACTAGGGGCTCAAGCGAAAGAGTCAGGATCCGGTTGGACTGTACTGTGGTGCAGGGACAAACCAACGTGGCTTTCGTCTAATTAGATGTAAAGGAAAGAACACCACCACCACCACCACCACAACAACAACAACAACAACAAGTCACCCGTCTCACAGTGTCATAGACCGTGAGGGATGGATAGGCTTCGACATGTTTCCTCCGTGTTTCCTCCAACAGGGATGTTTCAATGCACATTGCGCATCCCTTGCCAAGAAACTGACTGCTTAGAGGAATGAAATGAAGGAATAGACCCGACCGATATACAGTAAGCGTAATCCTTGGTCGGGGGCGAGGACTCCCCAAAATTCCCCACAAGTCGTACTGGGACGAAAAGATGCATGTCAAAAGCAAATTCGAAAAGCCCTTCATTCTGGTTATCTTCCATCTTTATTGTTCCAAGTTCTGGGGGTGGAAGCTCTTGACTGGGTCTTTTGGCAATTGAACCACCCCCACAGATCCCCACAGCGCAACAAGTTCCGGGGTCTTCCAAGTTCTCCAGTCTGGTCCAGTCCGCCCAAACAACGACCCCTCTGGCACAAACAAAACCCCTCTTTTGGGTCCAAACCAATAACTGGTGCTTCGGTTTCGGAATGAGGAGTTGCTTCGCACGAGTTCCTCGCACCAGTCAGGCCAAGCCCGGCCCCATCCCTCCGCCTGCTGCGGGCGCAGCGGCACCGGCGTCGTCGCCTCACCCCAAACGCCGCCACCGGCGAACGACTCGGCGGAGCGTGGAGCGAGGAAGGTGAGGCGAAACGAAAGGATTTGGTTCGTGCTTTTCTGCCCCAAATGGACCATGCGGCCAGGATGTTGCTGCCAAAATGTGTTCGATGCCTCCACGATGGGGGATGGTGATGGGGGGCTGCCGGAGTGGCTTTTGAATCACTTTCTCCCGTGAGTGGATCATGGTCACCCCAGGGTACCACTGTCCTCCAAACTCGGAACTGCTGTTGGCCCTCGCCCCCCCAACCCGATCCACCTGCGAAGGCTTTTCTCCGTTCCGCTGTGGGTGCGAAGGTCCACCGACGCGCGCGCGGCGTTGCGGCCAGGCCCTGCCGCGGTCGGCGCGAAAAGCGAGGTCCCGGCAGGGCTCTGATGCCAATCCGACTGGTCGAACGATGGCCGCACAGATCCACCAAGTTAGATTCGGGTCCCGTGAACGCGAACGAAGGGAAAGAGATGTGGAGAAGAAGAGACACCATAGGATCAGGGATCCAAGCGTGCAGCTGCAGCTGCTGATTTGGCCTTGTCTTGGCCATTCGACCGATCGTGTCATGGGTTCTTCAACCAAATGGCCCTTTAATGATGACTGCTCCCCGTAGCCATTGCCCATCTGCTCACGTTCTGGTTATAGACCAATTCGATTGTCAGAATGTCATTTGGTTGATCATTAAGTGCATTACCACTCCCTTGGCAAGCAAGGTGGATATTTTTCGGGGTCTGTGCATAGACCGGTCTGAGACGTGAATCACGTGAAGTTGATGCACCATTCTGATCCACAAAGGAGGCCGGGCATTCTGCAGGTCTCCAGGTCTCCCGTCTAACTGACCCATGGACGATCCCATGGACCCGGGTCTGAGACGATCTCCCTGAGAATGGACCCGTGGTGGTTTCGACCATTATCCTTCACAAGCTATATTGGTTTTGAGCTTTCATGCGGTCCTCTGCAGGGGAGTATGAATTACCAGTTGACAGGGTCACAGGCTAACTTCTTGTTCCTGCTCCTGCTCCTGCTCCTCCTCTTCCTCCTCCTCCTAATTACTCCTTCTTCTCTGCTTCCTCTTCCTCTTGTTCCTACTCTTCTCCTTGTGACATGGGGCCATGCGGTCGGAGATGCCAAACGCCCCCCGACAGAGAGGTCTGGCAGGGGCGTGGGCCCCACAAACGCACAGTGACCTCCCATCGTTCAATGCACAAATGGCATACAAGGGCGGGCTGCGAGCGCTCTCGAGCTTCTCGAGTTGCTCAACTTCAAAGGATTGAAAGCTAGCAACCCTCTGGTGGTCTGGGAAACCGGTGCCCCTACAGCCACAAGTCTCCACAATCTGATGTTTGAGCATGGGAGTATAGAGCACCTCTAGTGCTGGCATGTATATGTGGGTGCTTAGTTTATATATATATACCTGGACCTTCAAGGGGTGTCCAATGGAGGTCCCTTAGTGGTGTAGGGGCTTCCATTGGTGACCCCTTTGAAGGTGCTGGTATGCAATTGATACACACGCCATTCTCCATTCGCAAGCAACTAAGGTCGTTCTTTGTTGCAGTTGGTGAGTGAACACTTGGGCCACACCAGCTTTGCACAAATCATCGAAAAACCTGTTCAAAAACAAGCTGGACCACCTCAAATGCAGATCACACATACCACCAGACGGGTTGGAGAAAGACCTAGAAAGACACCATCCGGCTGCTGTCGGGTGGTCATTTTGTAGAATTTAACGGGCCAACTTGCAAGCCGCAGCTTGAGGTCTGCCTATATTTGCGGGGAATGAGTTGTTGACTGGACATCACGAATAGTCGACAACAAATAAATATGCTTAAGAAAAGCGTATAATTACTATACCAGTTAGAAAACTCTGTTGATATACTGATATACTACATATAATACTTGAGAACCGTCTGGCCCTGCAGTTGACAACTTATGGCTGGAATGTTGCAACCCAGAAAAGGAATGACTTCACCTCAAAGAACAGGGTTCCTTCACAGCTGACCCCAGCGCTTCGTCTTGTCTTGCGGCCAAAAAGTTGCAGCTCCGCACAGCAAAGCCAGTCACATGACCTGGTCACTGATCAAAACTGCCTGCGCCCTCCAGGCGCTTCCAAGTCAGCACCTGACGAGGTCAAGGAGATCAAATGTTGCTCCGTTCGTAGCGAGGCCTCCGTCGCCCCGAACGTAGCGTCCGGACCTTTTTGCATGCTGAGAACACAAAGCAAGAAGGGTGGGGTGGCAAATATGAATCTGGCGCGAACAGGCTGAACCCCCACAAGGGTCAACTCAGATACTTAACATCAGGTTCGATGACTTCAACCTGACTTCACCCTTTTCTGGAGTGGACTCCAAACCCTCACATCATAAAGGCTGCCCATGTCTTCCCTAAGCTTCAAACCGAACATCTCTTTCCACAGCTGACATACTCTCCATAAGCTTCTCGACTTGTTCCGTGGTCACACATCATCTCTCCATTGGAAAATCTCATCACCTCCCCCTACCAGGCTCACCCCCAGCCTCTGGTTTCAGCTTTCGTGCTACCCTCCACAACCGGCCATCAGGGCAGTGCAGAGACGTGATGATTTCGTCCCCTCATCGGCGGCGCGCCGCGCTGCGGCTCGGCCTGCGCCACCTGGGCGTCGCGAGGGGGGACGTCTGGGGCGAGCATGGTCGCGTCACCGATCGGAGACTTGAAATGAAGAGAAAAAGAAACTAGAATCAGTTCAGCATGAACTCAACATGCAACATGATTGAACATGTTGATGACGCATGAGGACGCATGATGACTGTGTTCAAGGCTTTAGCATGTCTTGCATCATGTTTGTCTTGTGGAGTTCCGATCAAGTGGCACCGTTCGATGAAATGATGATAGATGCTGCAGCCCCTAGGCCTTCAGCCTTCCTCCGACCTTCCGGCTGCTTCTCCCCAAGGAGACCGTCCAGCCAGGCACGCCAGCCGGGCACCGCCCACCCGGCACGCGTTTCAGGATCCCCCAACTCTTCCCACCCACCCGCAGCTATCCGCAGCTCGCCGCAGCTCGCCGCGCCTGTTGGTAGAGCTGCCAGTTCTCCACCACCAACTCCATCGCTCCACTGCTTCGATGGCCTCCTGAAGCGAACAGACAGACGTCGGTGACGGACGTCGGACGTCCGAGAAGGGCGTATGGCTTGGAGGTTTTGGAGGATGGAGGAGGGGCCCTTCTAATTCGCAAATCTTCAGTTCCAAGACTTCTCGACTGGTGGGCCGCTCAGTTATTGCTCGCCCCTAACAGAGGTGGGGAAGGAGGGGCTGCTGAGAACCCCGCCAGCATAGAATGCTGCCAAGCCTTGAGGATTTTGGAAGCGAAACCCTCTGGTGGTAGCCCATCCACCCAAAAGCCTTAGGCCTTGGCAGCTCAACCCATTCCTAGACCTCAATCCCTGCACCAACCCCTCCAGGCACGTCCCACCGTCGTCCCCTCCTGGGACTTTATTCACCTCGGCAAACTTCTTGAGGATTGGCTGCAAGGCTGGGTATTTGGACCGTGGCATCGAAGGAAACAGGTGATGCTCCAACTGGTATTGCCTCGGTGTTTTTCTGCCACGGAGCCACGGAGCCAACGGATTCCGCGGACGCTCCAACCGCCACGGTTCTTCGTGCGCTGACTGACGGTGCATTCTGGGGTGTTTGAAGAGAGGTTTAGAACGCTCAGCTGGCCTTGTGCAAGCGCAAGTCTTACAGTAAGAATTGCACCTAAGCGGCTGCTTGACTGTTTGGATTCCTTTCTGGTGGGGAAAACAACCACGGAATCAGGAAGCCTCCAGTTCATCGCAGAGGTTGAGACTTTGAACATTGCGTTGGTCCCTTCACCCCATTGCCATCGTTTGTGCATGTGGAATGTGGAGATATAAAAAAAGAATCCGCCCACAGAAAGCAGCATTGCTTCTTCAGCATTCTTCAGCCAAGGCTTCCTGGAGTGGTGGCCTCGTGTTTTGGCTCTTGCTTTGAATGTCATTGGAGCTCTTGCTTGAGGAACCAGAATACTCCCCAATGACCACTGTGTTCCTGACCAGTTCAGCCGCTACGCTGCATCACATTGCTCCGGAGCCCACCCCTCCAGCCCGAGCTGGCCCGCCCTCATCCAAGCGGCATGCCTCCCCAGAGCCACTTGCCGAAGGGGTTCCGCACGGTGGCATCTCGAGTGCTACGGAACTGGTTGTCCACGAAGTCCGGGTTGAAGTCCTCGAACCTGAAACAACGGCGAAAGAGCGGTAGCGGGCGGTAGCACCACGTCGCGCGCCCGGTTACTGGTTGGCAGCCCATGGTCCGGGTGATGCGGCCGGAATTGCGGCTGGCTGGGGTGGGTGGGTGGGTGGGTGGGTGGGTGGGTGGGTTGGCGAAGTTGACGAGTTAACTGGCATTTGGGTACTCCAAAAGAAATTCTTTGCAACACTTCGGAGCTTTCAGGAAAGCCGTTGGAGGATGCAAGAACTTCTCTCATAGATTCTGTAGATTCTAGATCTATCTCACAAAGCTTTACTTGAATGGGGGTTCAAAGACTTAAACTGACTCCTGATGTCCCTTTCCGCGCTGCGGCCGAGAAGCATTTCTTCTGATTGGTGAGTGGCTGTGGTGATGATGGCAGTGATCAAGCCCGACAATAAGATGTACGCCGGAATAATGTGCCAAGGAATCAATGCAAAGACCTCAGTCAACTTTAAGCAGAAGGCTGTGACAGGCTGTGGGTCAAAACCTGGGAGCTCCAAATTCTGGCCATTCTATTCCAGTGCCAAGACCTACAGCCATGTATGTTAGGTCATCCGTCTCGTCCGTGACACCGTGAAACCCTGGTCGTCCGTGGACCCTGGTCGGATCTGCGTGGATCTGCGGTGCTCATGCACAGCCGAGTGTCTAATATGGACCAACACGGTCAGAACGGGGGAAGACTCTGGGAAGACTCTGGGTCCTCATGAAGACCGGCGACTTGTTTATTTAGACAGACAGCCCAAGACATGTGTCATGATTTTTGTCATGAAGACAGGCTCATGATTTCATACCTGGTAGTCCAGTTTCAGGTGACCCAGACTGGATGCTGCTGGACGTCGAGTCCTTTCGGCCCTTGGCAGACCTGCTACAGTTCGGCCAACCTGTTGAGACACGCAGAACGAGTCGACCGGCGCGGTTGACCAACTCGTGCTTGATGGAAGAGTTCTGGAACGAAGCTCTTTGGGAGAAGCTGTTTGGGGCGCCCACATGGGGCTACTGACTTGATGGGCTTGATGTTCCTGTATCAGTAGCCCCACTAAGACAGCTGAAGAGTTCTGGTTGTATTTTGAATGATTTTGACACTTCGTATGTTGGATGTCCCCTTCCACGTGCCCTACCCGGTGAACGTGATCAGATCCCCTGGCAGCACCACGAACTCTCGCCGCTTTCAGCGATCTATCTCGACGGCTTTTTCGTTCGGACTCCACGCCAGATGCGTTTTTGGAGGTCGGCAACACCTGGACTGTCTAATCCTTCAAAAGCTCTGCCTTTTCATCGATAAAACCAGGCAGACATTGTGCATAGTTGGAAGGTCTAGGTTTGTGCCTTTGACACATCCCCAGATTGATCCATATGTCATCATATGTCATTCTGTTTGACAATCACAAGGGAGAATCATGGTGTCTACAGTATGATTCCCGGAGGGAGGTGCTGTCAACTCTCTCTCTAGCTCTATACCTTCTATACCTTCACACCGGTGCAAATTTCAATATGACACCCCGGACACCCCCCAACTGTCCTTCTTCCAAGGGGGGTCGTTGCCTGGGAGGTCTCCCTACTTTAATGCACCATGGTGTTTGCATGTGCCAAGGACACACCGGTGACGGACTTGCTCTGCCCGTGGGCGGCCATGTCAAGGCACCAAAGACCAGTGGGCGGCCAGCAGTACCGTTTCAGTGACTGCGCCCTTCCGTGGCTTCTTCTTTCTCCTCAGTTGCAGACGGATGGTCTGGTGCCCCACATGGTCTGCATGGCTCTCATTCTGCTTTTATAAACCATCATGAAGCCCAACACACATGGAGAAAAGTGCATTTTGTCATTATCAACCAAGCACATGGTTGTCAACCAACTGGAGAGTATGTCATCATCTATCCTTTTCACCGTTAGGTAGTGCGCGAATCACTCCAGCCAGGAAATCCCACTTCTGAGAGTGCTGCCTGTGTGGGCGTTTAACAAGTACACATGAGGTGTTCGAATCAATTGCAGTGTGAGGTTTAAAGCATCAGAAAGTGTAAAAACAATAGAACCTCCACATAGGAGGAGAAGGAGGAGACTGAGTCGGGATGCCGACGGAAAAACAAATAATACACAAAAATGTGGGGAGACCTCTTGACCTCTTTTCGGAGCTATGAATGGACACCCGGAATCCGTGCTGCTGGGAGTTGATGTTTGAAGTCCCAAAAGCCCTCTTGTGACTCGGTGTGGGTGACTCAAAATCCCAGGCGCAATTCCTTCCATAGAACTTTGATGGAATCCATTCGCCAAATCACGAACCTGAGCAGACATCTTTCGTTGCAGTTCTTTTAAAGAGGCCTTGGGCCTTGGGGAAAATGGATGAAAGAAAACAATTGCATATAACTAAGAAGACAGTCAAAGCTGCAGTAGTTAGGCTCTTGACTACTTGGCTGAAGTGCTATAACTGCCACTCTACTGGCTTTTTCAGGTTTTTCAGGTTTTTCAAATCTGGCATCAAGCAGTACGCCCTGCGTTAGACGTTCTTTCTACCGCCCTCCGTCTGACCCCACCAAGTCACAGCATCGAAAATGAGAGAGGCACCTCATTACGGCTCGACCGAGGCTCCCATGGACGCCTCTTCCGTTCCGGGACGACGTAACGACCCGACATCGCCCGCGGGGTCGTCGCCACGTCGGCACGGACTGCAGATGAAGCCGAAGTTGGTCCAGAAAAGTCCAGAACACTCTAGAACTATGAATTATATATAATATATGTATATATATATATAATATATATAATCTTCTCGGACTCCCAGGGTTCATGTGTAACACGTCCTCCACTCGGAGATGTGCAATATCAAAGGCCGGTGCTTGGACATGATCTCCCAAAGGAAAAGCAGTGTGCCGATGGGCACAGTAAAGCTTTTGGTTACGGTGCTAGATATACTATCTTGTGGAAAGGTGTAACAACAACATAAGACTTAAGAATTCAGCGTGCTTCGAAGTGGCTCACTGCAAACTCAGACTCTTCCCTAAACCGCAGGTTACCTCTGGTTCTTGAGCATGTTCTTCTGCCAGAGGCGCTGTCAAGTGCTGTATCCGCCGGTGCCATGAATCATTCTTTGGATCCGGTGCACGGACGAAAAGCACGGGATCTGTGGCGATATCCTGGCGAGTAGACTGAAACAGTGCAGGAAAGTCGTTTTCAAGGGCAATCATGAGCAGAGTCATGAGATGTCATCATCTTCCCAACCAGTCATCGAAATCACAGGCATGTCTTGCAGAGGTGCATATGTTCAATGTGTGATCATGTGTGTATGATCCGGTGATCTTGCAACGCAACAGAACCTGTGGTGCTGCACAAACAAACCTGCGACACTTGCAGCATCTTGCGGCTTTAACGCGCACAAAGCTATGAAAAGGACCTCATCCACACCAATCTCGTTGGTCAGGGCATGGTGCCTGGGACGAAGAGGACGAAGTGTGGCAGTCCGAGGAGTGCAGTGTGAAGTGGCTCTTGCAGGTCACACCGCTAGCAGATGCATTCGAGGAGTAGGCTTGGTAAAGTCAAGTGAGTAGACGAATCCTAGCAAGAAATATATGCAGTAGTACCTGCTCAGAGACCCCAAGGTGCATGTGTGTGTGCCACACTCTGCTTCCAAGAGTTTTAATATGCAGGGGGACGGGTCACCACCGATACTGCCCGTCCAACGAAGAGGGTATCGGTTGGTGCTGAAGCAGTGGAGGACGCTCCACTGTGTACCTGCATCAAACGCATTGACTCCACTGGTTTCCCTTGCCGCTGTTGGTTTGTTTCCATGGTGGTTCTTCGCATGATATCCCCCAAAACAGGTTTCCTTGCACGGCGTGAATTCAGTCTGCTAAGTAATCACTCGGACTTTTTGCCTCTCGGTTCACTCTTTCCTTTCCTAGGTCTGCTAAGTGTTCAGGAACTAGTGTTCTGCAGGCACGCGTAACCTTCTGTTAAACAATACTGTTTTGCGGACTCTTCCACCTTTCGGTTCCATCGCCATTTTCGACCTGGGAACTGAGCTAACTGAAAACCAATGTCAGAGTGTGTGCCGCTCTGCCGTCCCACTTGGGTGCAGGGTGTGATCTCCCGCAAGGGAGCGCTGTTCTCATTCCGGATTACCGTGTAACTGATTCAGCGGATTTTCTGCATGCGTTGGATTCTCTAATTAACTGATTTTGTCTCACCACTGGATTCCCAAAATTCCACGCCGGGCATACGGAATTCCGTCCGTTTTTGAGCTCGTTTTGAGTTTGACATGTCCATTTTGTTGCCAACTGGACTCTGATCGTTTGGGTTCCCACACCCCCCCCCCCCGCCGAGTTCTACTCCCTACCTAATTAGGGTAACAGAGGGAAATGGTACTCGACACACTTGTGTGTCGGTGCCTTTCCCTATGTTGTCCCTGTTCTAGTCTACTCTACCCGGGCGGTTTAAGACTAGAGTCCCGCTCCCTAACTATTGCACCTAATTAGTTTCCGCTAAGTAGTCAGTAACTCTAGAGTGCTAAGTATTCAGACACACACATGTGCACACACATGGATCCCCCCCGCATTCTTTCTTGCGCTTTTCGTCGTTTCTTGGGCGTTCTTTCAGGCTTTTTAGGTGGTTCTTGAGGTTCGTTTCCCTGCCCCAGTCAAGGGCTAAGTACACCTTTTGCTACACCTATCTTTTTCTCCTGCCCTTTTAGCGCTGCTCTTTCTGTCTTTCTTTCTTTCGCTTCTAAGGCTTTTTAGGTGCCTATTTAGGTTTTTTCGCCGGAGCGCCGCAAAGCGGCTGTGTGTGCATGTGTGTGTGCCACACTCTGCTTCCAAGAGTTTTAATATGCAGGGGGACGGGTCACCACCGATACTGCCCGTCCAACGAAGAGGGTATCGGTTGGTGCTGAAGCAGTGGAGGACGCTCCACTGTGTACCTGCATCAAACGCAATGACTCCACTGGTTTCCCTTGCCGCTGTTGGTTTGTTTCCATGGTGATTCTTCGCATGATATCCCCCAAAACAGGTTTCCTTGCACGGCGTGAATTCAGTCTGCTAAGTAATCAGTAACTAGTTTTCTGCAGTCACGCGTCAACCTTTGTTAAAACACCTTCAAGTACTCGGACTTTTTGCCTTTCGGTTCACTCTTTCCTTTCCTAGGTCTGCTAAGTATTCAGGAACTAGTGTTCTGCAGTCACGCGTAACCTTTCTGTTAAACAATACTACTTTGCGGACTCTTCCACCTTTCGGTTCCATCGCCATTTTCGACCTGGGAACTGAGCGAACTGAATTTCAATGTCAGAGTGTGTGCCATTGGATGTTGAAGGGTGAATTGGTGTCCAAATTTAGATTCCCGTCATCCGTTTGGTTTCATCCCGACGGTTTCATCCTCCAATTTTCGATGGTTTCATGTGTCCGAACACTTCCTCGGAAGGATCACCGTCAGCAAATCGGTGCCACCGGGATACCCTCCGCGATATACTCAAGGGTCCATCTTCTCTATACAACGGGTACACATACCATTGAATTGGGATTAAAAATCAAAACAGGCGGGTAAACCTCAGAAGCTTATATAGATACACCTTGAAAAACATGCCCTAGGGCCACAACTACCTCCTGCAAAGATGGTTGGGGTGGGTTTGGGGGCCTAACCACCTTCTGAGAATATGGTTGGAGACGTAGGGATGATTCACTTCACCATGGCATAAGCGGCATAAGTGGATACGTTACACGATCGCTTCCCTTCTTCATCGCTTCCTCCGTCAGCTTCAGCTGCAGCCCACGGCGCTTGTTGTGCTTGTCTGACCACCATAGGGGCGACATGCCTGCACAAAGGGGCCCCATAAAGCCTCAGGTGACGTTCTGGTCAGTTGCCCCGTGGTCCGGTCCGACAGATCCCCACGGAGGTGAAGTAAGTCATCGAGAACGTGAAGCGGAATGAGTGATTCCTCCCTCAACGGGAACGCTGGTTCTTCACCGAAAGTAGGACTGGAACGCTGGGGAATTCCCAAACAAGAGGAAAATCATCACGGGTCCCCCTTTTGATCCCTGCACCCCGGAGACGATCCTCGAGACCCATAGTCGTTCTCGAAATGCGCGACCGGTGTAAGGGGACGGACTCAGGGGACGGACGTGCTGGCTGTTCATACGATATATCCATGTGAATCCATATGATTCTCATTCCTACCATTGATGGCTTGATATGGAATGATATGGAGATAATGATATATCATATGTATTACAAATGGCCTACAAGAGGATTCTCATTCCTACAAATGGCCTACATATGGCCTCTATATCCTACCAATCCGACAGAATCCGGAGGCATCCAGGCAGCGCATCTTCTCTGCGAAGGAATCGACGCCATGGATGTAATCGTGGGCCAGCCAGCCAGCCTGGACTGCCGTTGGTGGCTTTCCGGTGTTCAACGAAAACGAGCAATTCGACGTATTACGAGTCTACCGTGGGGTGGCACAATCATCCCAGACGTAGAGGTGGCAAATAAACATCTCTGAAACCATCACACACAAAACTGGTCTTTCAAGGCTTTCGGATCCTCTGTAGCGTTACGTTGGGAGTCACCTTTCATGTCTGTTTCGGAATGTCTCTGCCTTATGTGAGTGTGTGCGGGTCAGCATTGTGAATCATATCCTCTTGGAAGTCTTTGAGAAGAACCCACTGTGGAATATGCCAGTGTCAACGTCCAACTGCCCCACCTACGCCGCTGGGCCTGTGGAAACACGGTGTCCACGCCGTCGCTCCCAAGACGGACAGTCGTACAGACGTGCGAGCCGGTGCTCCTGCGTGTTGGCGAGGGCCAACAAGACAACACCAAGCAGGGCGAGCCAATGACCACTGCGTGCACACACCACACCTGGGACCGACGATGAAGGTCACATCGACCAGCGATGTTCTGGAAAACCGACAAATCGGGGTGGTGTCCAACTGAATTAAAAAATAAGAGTCAGTGGGCTCAATCTTCTCAAGTATAGATAGTATAGAGTCTAAAGGTTGAAAATGCAAATATCCGAAAACACCACCATTTAGGTTCTGTACCTCAAAAGGCTGCCAATCGGACTGAGAACAATTGTCAATCCTGGAAGCACGAGAACCTCTGTCTGCACATCCTATCTTCAAGTCCAAGAAAGGTTCCTGGTGTAAGGTCGGCACCAAGCGCTGTGACCGAGGCCCAGATGAACCATTGACGGCCCTGGCCCGAAAAAAACAGCAGGTTGGTGCAGAGTGGACGGTGACAGGTCAGGGATCACAGGAGCATCAACCGCTGATGGCAGTATTACTGGAAAATCTCTAAGTTAGGACCATCTTTGCTCAAGGTTTCATGGAAACAAAATGGATCAATCAATTCATTCGTGTCACTCATGGAAACAAAATGCATCATGTCACTTCGCACCGTTCGACCCTTCTTCACACACGTTTCACACCCACCACTCGGTTCACACGGTTCACCCCGAACACGCTCCCGGTGCCGAAACGGTCTCACGGTTCACGGCGGACGTGCCTCAAGGACCAGGTCTCGTTTCCACCAGCCTTCCTCTTCCAACTTCGTCCTGGCACGTGGAGAGAGACGTGGCGTTTTCAAACGACGTGAAGGCAGAGGCCAGTGTGAAGGCAGAGAGGTTGAAAGACCTTATTGATGGGACCCAATAGTGGTACCATATGAGATGGGATATATAGAATTACTATAAGCTATATAAGGCTTCTTCAACCTCTCTAGGCAGGTGTCTCATCATGGCAAGTCTTCAAGTGGGTCTTGCACGCGCGAGCCGCGCGGTGTTGGAGCTTCCAGACACGGCCGACAGAGTTGGGCAAACAGGAGCCGAGACAGGCCAGCGTCAAAAGACGTGGCTCACGTTCAACAGGTTACGGTTAGCGGTTGTATTTGCAGTTTTGAAGCACTGAAGCCCACAAACAAGCACCCGCAAAAAGATGAAGCGACTGGACCTCTGCTCCGTTGTTTCCGTCAGCTTCGTTGTTCCCGAAAAGTTCCTACAGAGCATTGTTGCATGATCGCTTGAATATGAATTGAAACCAAAAGTGCAAAGTTTTCCCAGTTGTCAGCGTGATGTTGCAGAACATGTCAGCGTGATGTTGCACAGCCTATGTCATATCTGTTTAAGCTTAAAGTCGTAAACACTAACGCATTCTGAAGGGACCCATTTCAGATATGAGATACTGAGACTGGATGACTGAATCTAAAGGAAGAAGACAATGATTTTTTGTATGCTGAAGAAATCAGCTGCTGGCTCAGTTGTGGATAGCGGTCTGACCGCACCCTCCTGAGAACCACAGGTTGTGAAACAGGTCTGCAAACATGCAAGTCAACCAGGCCGACAGTGACAAAAAGTTAACACAAGTTATATGCATGCTTTTACAAAAAGTTAGGGGAAACAGTGCAATAAGAGTAGAAAACAAAAACTTGGGAGATGGGAAACGTAACCATATAAGAACACCATTCCTAATGGACTTAGTGAGTTTTATGTTTACTTTCCAAACAAGTACGTAGTCTAAGATTTCAGTAAGTTGTTCAACTTCACTTCCGTTCGGACACTCGTTCAGCCTAGAGGATCCGTCTATCTCTTCCCGCCCTTCCGCACGGAACTCGTGTCTTTCTTCGTTCGCCCGCCTGAGCTTTCGAAAGCTTCGCGTCAGCGGGGTCACCGGAGCACAGTTCGCCTGACTCAGCGGAGAACCATCGGAGCATCGAGAGATGATCCGATGGTCCGATCCAGTCGGATCTCGAGAGCATCTCCGCGCCCCGAACGATGCTGCGCTGCGGCGTCATCGTTGCGGAAGACTGGAGAAGACAAGTGAAAGGTGTAAAGGCGAACGATGCTGCGCTCGTTCGGGTGAACTGGCGAGCTCTTGTTACTAGCTCCAAGTGACCCGGCTCCCTGTTTTTCATGGGGAAGAACTGGATACCCCTCACAGCTCCTGAGCCCAGCCCTCCCTCCCTGAGCAAAAGCCAGCCAGGGGGGAGGTTGTGCTTCAAAAGCCAAACGAAAAGCGAACTTGTGGCCCAAACATCAAAGAATCATTGGCAGCCACCATCTACCAAAAAGCCTACCACCTGCCTCGTCCTTGTTGCCCAACACTGAAAAACCACCAGCTGAGCAATTTAAAGCATAACACACCCCAACATCCTTGCGTTTTCGAGGAGAAAACACACCCAAAAAGCCAAAAACGCCTCCAGCTCCTTCGGATTCTTCGACTTGGGCATGCGCTTCATCATCTCACGGCCTGAAAAGGACGTCGGCACTGTGACGGCGCGACGGCGTAACAAACCCTTCGGAAAGAAAGAGCTCGGCATGGGCTCATTGACTCCCTAGCCGACGGGTGTTGGGCAAAAAAGAACAGATGTTTGAGCCAAGGGAAACTACACTTGGATGTACACTCCCTCACGAAAAGGAACATGGAGAACAAAAAACACAAAGAGGACCTTGTTGTTTTTTCCAAGTGGGGCCTCGAAGGGAATGAGATCTATATACATTATATACGTACCAAAAAATATATACCTTGAACACATAGAGATCATGATTTGAACGGTTGGTACAGTATTTTGATGTATTTTGGGTCACTCAGGTTGTAGGTAGGGCAGCTTCTGGCAATGTGCTGCTGAAAACAGCCGTTAGGAAGAGATAGTTCTTCTGGTTGGAGGGGTTCATCTGACGTGCGTGCTAGGGTACCCAAGATTTTGACCATCATTCACATGATGTCCAAAACCGCGAGCACGTGAAAGAGATTGAAGAAAAGCGCCAGGATGAATGATGTGGAAACTCAAAGAACAACTTCCCAACTTCTCCCAACCTCCAATGATCTGATGTGATTCAATCGTTCTTTCAAGAAACTTCCTATGACTCCCTTTGGCGTGTATCTTTCACATGGGTGACCTCCCAATGACTCACCACTGACCCCACCATCTTTTCTTTCTTTCTTTCTTTCTATTCGCGCACGGTGTCCGTAGACTCAGCGCCTTGCTGACATGAATTCTTAATTAAAGCGGATTGAAGTCTGGCCCTTCTTTACAATATTTATCCACCTCCGTGATGTGCATGGCCTTAAGCCAGCGTACATCTTCAGGTGGTGGGCCTGACCTATATGTTGCACCTGTCATCCATCGATCAAACATCTTGGCCAAGAAACAACAAAAGTCCCTCGGGTATTCTTTGAGCGAGCTGGTGGCCCACCCACGACCCTCCAATCCGATCGATGAAGCTTTGGGGCAACTGGATGTTCTACTCGCCTTCTCTAAAGCCGAAGTTGTTTCAGCTGAAAGTCCGGCTACAAGTAGATTTGTCGGTTTGGCACTTTTAGCGCCAAAGTGCCCTTGCATGACTCTCAGATGATGGAAGAGTTCCGCTTGCCCTAACCATTGCATCAGAGTTGTGCCCCAGACACTTGGCGCCTCTTTGTGTGGGGTTCGAAGTTCGTGGGGGTCCAACGGGTGCTCGAGCACTGCAAAGCCCCCACTAATGGCGACTTCCAGCATGACGAGAATAGCAAATCCCATGAGCTGGTTGCCAATCTCCACCTGTTGGCCTTCCCGGAAGCTAATATCAATCAGTCCCCAGGGGTGCGAACGTGTTCGAAGCGGCCTCGGTGGCTTGTGATGCCCTGGTACAGCTTCAAACCGAGCAACTGACCACGTTTCGCAAGGAGGTCCTGCAAAGGCTGCCGCAATGGCACCTGCACGAATCACCTGAAGTATTGCTTCCTGCTGTGCACGATTTGTGAGGTCGCCATGCTTGGCTGAAACCATCACATCCAGCGAGATTACGAACATATTGGTGCCTTCTGGAAGACACAACGCTTCTAATGCTTCTTGCAGATCTCCCGATCTCCGTCGACCGCTGAACAGATGCAGAACGTAGATTTCGTGACAAAAGAAGCTAGTTCGTGGACTCACTGGCTTGATCGTGACCCGCCCCCTCTCCTCCTCAGTGGTGAGGAGTTCTGGCTGGGGTTCCGTTGGCTCTTTCTCAAGCAAGAGCTCTTTGATAAATCGAATTGCCTGCTTGAAAGCATTTCTGATATCCTCCTGACTTGGTTTATCGAATTCAAAAGCCATCTCTTCGAGAACAGCTAGCATATCTTGCACAGGCATCACCCTAGTTACCTCAGCAACGAAGGCATTAGCCAGCTCGGTCACAAAATGCTCATCCCATTCGGGAGGAGCAAATTCCTGGAGAGTTCGGTTCAGATCAGTCCGCAATCTCATTTTATCTCTCTGAATCAACTCGGGTGCACAAACCTCCGTTTCCCCGGTACGTACCCATGGCATCTGGGGATGCCGATGCTTCAAGTCAGTCTCTTGGTCCGGGAGGGTATTTCTGTTTTTCCAGAAATATGTACAACACACTTGGCTATATCTCAAATGATGTTTGAGGGACAAGGTGTTGGCATATTGTTTGGCGCAGCACCAACATGTAGTTCCCTTGACAGCCTCTCCTTCCATAGTGCGATATGCATGTACTATATTTGCATGTAAAAACCAGGTATTCTTTTTTTCGAATCCTTTCTTGCACACCAAACAGTAGTGCCGCCATCCTCCTTGTGTTCGAGGGTTGTGGGTGTCTTGTGAAGCCTTTGTGGCTCCAAGGATTCGACGATGAAAGTCCGCCACCTGGTATTCACGCAACCGATACAGACGCCATCGCTCAGAGGCTCTTTTGACAATTGCCTTCCAACTAGGGCCCCCTGCGATACAGATGTCGCGGCAAGCCACTTCAGCCTCTAGTCCAAGAAAACCTTTCTCCCTTTTGAGTGCTTTTTGCACCCATCGGATTGCTTCCTGGTACATCCGAACTGATTCCTTGTCAAGATGGACAACAGACCACACTGGATCTGGTGCATGGTGCAACATAGTAATGTAGTGCCTGGCTCTGGCAGCTTGTAATGCGTCTTCCGGATCAGGGCAATTCAGGAGTTGGCAAATCGCACCTTTGGAGGTTAATTTCCGGTCTTTCGGCAAACAGAGTCTCCACAAATTCCAGTATGATGTGACGTACTTCTTGTTGTCTGCGGCGTTCAGCGCGGGCCAAGCACCAATTCCCCACGAAAACACCGACATCACCAAAGTTCGGAACAGTTGGACTTTAATAGTCATGGAAATGTAAGCCGGTCGGAAAATGGTCTTGGCTGCTCTCCAATATGCTTGTTTCGCCTTGGCATATCGAACAGCAATCTCCTGCGACAGATTTCCACGGAAAGACAAAATGCCCCCAAGATGTTTGTAATGCGGCACTAATGGCAAAAGGAATCCTTGCTTCTCTGTGACGATAGGCAATTCTGCTTCTGGTTGACGGAACAGCTTTCTTCTAACAGCAACCGACCTAGCACCTCTCAAAAGGACGAGTGCTGCTGTCTTAGCCATTCCGCAAGATATTTCCATTCCGATTGCGTGCAGCTCATCAACTAGGACCTGAGTAACTCTCGGAAGGTCCGTCCACACCGAAGCCGGCTCTCTGAGACTAATCATTACAGCAATGTCGTCGGCCCATGTGACTTGCAGCAAGGAAACCTGACTCTCTGGAATCGATTGCGGGCATACACACCTTTCAAACCCAATCACAGGGGTTGTGAGCCCCTCATCACCAAGAATTTTCTGGGTTTTGAGCAGCACCTGAGACAATAAGACATTGAAGACCACATCTGCCCAACTGTCGCCAGGTCGCGTCCCCTGTTCCGTTGCCACAATGGTGCTGCCGTCTATCGAAAACCACGTGCCGCTCAAGCTTTCTTGAAGCACTTGTTGTCTCGCAACTGAGGATGTGAGTGCGGCGTAGGACGAACGGCCATGTAATGCTTCATGGAGTGCAGGCATTACCTCCGGACCGATCCTAAGTCGCTGGGCTACTTTGGCAATGTCCTGATCAGAAACATCAGCCCCTGTGGCCACCTCACGAAGTGCTTTGTAGAAAGCAGATGCAATGTCGACGAACAATACTGCAGCACTACTGTTACATGCTTTCCTCCATCTCAAAAAGGATCTGGTAAGTTGCGCACCAAACTGTGCTTGTTGGTGTGGTCGGCCCCCCAGCTGCATGGGGTGTCCGTGACTAAGATAGGGGCTGTTAATCCATCTGCGTAGGCCTGACCGGGTAAGTTTACCCATCACGTCCATCAGCAGTATACCCCTGTGGTTAGAGCACTCGCTCATCGCTCCCTTCCCTTTGTAAAGGGGGAAAAGGTATCCTCCTTTCCATGAGACTGGCTCTTCAATCCGAAGTGCGAGCTTGAGTGCTAATGGGTATAGCAGTTTGGCGGCTTTCCCAGGGATGGCTTTGAAAATTTCCGCTGGGAGCCCATCTGGTCCGGTAGCTCGATCACGATGGGCTGCTCGAATGGCGTTCTCAACCATTGCCAGCGTCGGAATGTCCTCATTCGCGAAGCTAGATGGCTTGCATCGATCTGCCTGCCTCTGGAGTTGTTGGTCAACAAATTGCCGCACATCTACCACATGTCCGGCCTCGATGGATGCAAAGTGTTCAATCCATCGCTTCTCTTGCGCTGTGCGACTCAGAATCATTTCTCCATCAAGGTTCACCAACTTTGGCAGAGGTTGGACCACTTTCGATTGCTTCTTGGATGATTTCAAAATCGGGCGCAACTTCTTGAATATCTCACCAGGAGGGCACTCATTCACTTCTCGGGCCAAGGCCTCAAGAAATTCGGATCGGTCTTTCCGGAGACGAGTGCGCAAATTATCAGTCAGCCGGCGGATCTTCTGGGTGATCTGTGCAAACTTGCAGTTGAACTCGTGCATCCATTTTGTGCTTTCTTCTTTGAGCACTTGCTTACTCCAGCTTCGGAAAAACAAGGCCAAAGTACGAAATCGTGCAATTAGTCTTATCTGTGTACCTGCACGCTTGGCGGAGACCAGTTCCTGGTAAATCTCTCTCGTTTCATTCTTCGTGTATTGGGGGATTTTGGCTTTGAGAGCTGGGAAAGCTTCAGCAAGTTCACCCTGCAAATATTGGCTAACTATAACCGCGTGGTCACTAGCATTAGTCCCCCATGCAGGTTGAGGGCATCGGTCAAGAATATCGAACACTGTATGCCGGTTCTCCGGGTGCATGATTGCCTCCCGGTCGTACCGGGTCTTCTTCTTCAACTTGACACTGCTCTGTTCCCAGTAAACCTCTGCAACCGTCGCTGTATGGTCAACTCCTGCATGCCCCACAGTCACTGACGAGTCTGTCCAAGTTTGGACCCAGGAACATGCCCACGAACCAGGTAGT